AACAGGAACAGGTGAAGAAATTTGTCCCAGTCTCTTTGGTGGTCAGAGACTACTTTGGCCAGATAACGGTTGATAGTTCTGTTCATGCGTTCAACCATCCCATCGGATTGTGGATGTAGAGCAGTCGTCCTGGTCTTGCGGATGTTCAGGACTTCACAGACGCCTTGGAACAGATTGGACTCAAAGTTTCTTCCCTGATCTGAATGAAGCTCCATGGGAACACCAAACCTGCAGATCCATTCTTTAACAAGGGCATCAGCAATCGTGGACGCTTCTTGATTTGGCAACGCGTAGGCCTCGACCCATTTGCTGAAGTAATCCATTACTACCACAATGTATTTGTTGCCATCGTTCGTCTCCGGGAAAGGACCAGCCACGTCGATCGCTATTCGTTCGAAGGGACTACCAACATTGTACTGGCGCATAGGGGCTTTACCACGCTTTTGTGGCCCATTAATGGCTGCGCAAATGTCACATTTCTTACACCAGGCCCTCACATCTTCTTTGCAGTTCACCCAGTAGAACCGTTCACGCAGCTTGCCAAGTGTCTTGGTAACACCAAGATGTCCTCCGCTGGTTCCATTGTGAACTTCCTCCAAGACTTCTGGGACCCTCTTCTTTGGAATGACGATCTACCTTCTCTCTTCTTGTCCCTCCGGTCTCTCGATCACACGGCGAAGTAGTCCGTTAACTATTTCTATATTAGGATTATTAGATTCTATATTAGATCCTAGATTCTATATTAGGTTCGGCGAATATCTGCAAACTTCTTCCCACGTTAGTCTTTGGCCTGTGTTTTTCCAGTTAATTACTAAACTTAATTCTGGGTCACTGGTTTGGTCATTTGCAAGATCTTCGGGTTGCCAACTATCATTAACCACAGTTGTTCTTAGGAGTTTCACTTCTTTCTCTTCTGCTCGGGCACAATGCTTACAGTCCTTAGCGCAAGGTCTTCTGGAAAGTGCGTCGGCATTCCGATGGATTGCCCCAGCTCGATGTTCTGTGTCGAAGTCAAATTCTTGTAATCGTTCAATCCATCTAGCTACCTGCCCTTCAGGATTCTTAAACTGCAACAGCCATTTCAAAGCAGCATGGTCTGTTCTTAACAAGAACTTTCTTCCATAGAGATACTTGTAGAAGTGTTCCATTGCTTTAACTACTGCTAGTAATTCTCGTCTGGTTACACAGTAGTTCCTGTCCGGTTTTGACAAGGTCTTACTAAAATAACCAATGACTTTTTCTTGACCATCCTGGATCTCAGACAGAACAGCGCCTAACGCAACATTGCTAGCGTCGGTATCCAATATAATGTTTCCGTTGCCAAGAGGGTAGCAAAGTATGGGCGCACTAGTCAGGGCCTTCTTCAATTTTCGGAATGCCTCGTCAGAATCTGAGTCCCAAGAGAAACGCCTCTCGCCTTCGGTAAGTCTGGTCAATGGTTTTGCGATGGTGGCGAAACCCTGTACATAGCGGCGATAGTATGTGCATAGTCCCAAAAAGCTTCGTAGTTCATGTTTATCTTTAGGTATTGGCCACTCTTCCACTGTCTTTGTCTTCTGTGGATCTACCGCAACTCCTTGGGAGGAGACTACATGTCCCAAGTAGTGTACTTTTTCTTGACACAGATGACATTTCTTGGGGCTAAGTTTCAAACCAGAGCTCCCTAGTCGCTTGAAAACTTCTTCCAAATTCTTCAGATGATCGTCAAAGGATTTTCCAACCACTATGATGTCATCTAGGTACACTAAACAGGTAGTCCAGGATAGTCCCTTTAACACAGACTCCATTAGTCTCTCAAAGGTAGCTGGCGCGTTGCACAATCCAAAAGGCATGACGGTAAATTGCCACAGTCCGGAGCCCACCGAGAACGCTGTCTTCTCTCTGTCTTTCGGCGCCATGTCGACTTGCCAATATCCACTCTTCAGATCTAACGTAGAGAATATCGTTGACCCCGCCAGCGTGTCTAGAGTATCGTCTATCCTCGGCAGGGGATAACTATCCTTCTTGGTAACATTATTGAGCTGCCGATAATCAACACAGAACCTGGTGGTACCGTCTTTCTTCTTTACTAGTACTACCGGCGATGTCCACGGGCTGTTAGATGGTTCGATGACACCCTCTTCTTTCATTTCTCGAAGGATTTTATCAGCTTCTTCACGTTTGGCGAGCGGAAGTCTTCTCGGATTTTGTTTGATTGGTCGTGCATCTCCGGTATCAATTTTGTGTTGTACTAAATTGGTACGACCTCTCTGTCCTGCTTCTCCTTTATCAAACACATCTTGATACTTGATTATCAGGTTTCTCAATTTTCTTCTATTTTCGGGAGATAATCCTTTAACGTTTACTAACTCCTTCACCATTTTGTCCGGAATTTTTGAAGTCGAAACTTTGGAGGCTTCCACGCTTCGAACGACTGAGGAGACCGAACAACAGTACCCTAAGAGGGTTCCCTTCTTCAAGGATACAGAATAATAATTCGTGTTCATTACTCTCACCGGTACAGTTTTCTTCGCTCGTAGCAGGGCTTTTCCAACAGCGATCCCTCGTCCTATTTCGCTGTCATGGTTCCTTGGCTCCAACAGAATAATACTCCCATTATTCATTTTACCTTCTAGGCAACCATCCAAAAATATCTCACAGCGCTCAGGGATCGAAACATCTTCTGCTACCACCACGCGAAGCGTCTCCTCACATTTTCGATGCAGAACCACTTCTTCTTCATTTATTTTCAAAATTCCTTGTTTGAGGTTTAGCTCAAAACCTCTAGTGGTCATGATGTCCATTCCGAGAATAAGTTCATCTTCGATATCTGCTACTACCACTGGATGTTCAAAACTGGTGCTCCCAATAACAAAATTAAGGTTTACTTCTCCATGGACAGCAGCAGAGCCCCCCGTAGCAGTACGTAGTCGCCATTGTGTTGTTTTAACCTTCTTCGATGTTTTAAGAATGTCCGGTCTGATAATAGTTTTCGTCGCTCCTGTATCCAACAGCATAGTCCGGAACTCTCCATCAACAAAACCATCCACAAACATGCTGTTGAATTTGTGTTGTAGCGAGGCGACTCGAGCAGTTTTCGTTGGGGCATGTTGGGTACAGGTCGACGTGTGCCCCTTCATTTCGACCCTTAGTAGTTTTCCGACCTCGACGAAGCCGGTTCTTCGTTCTTCTCCTTACAACGGCTTCGCACGTGTCCTACCTGTCCGCAGTTCCAGCAATGAATCAGTCCCTTCTTGCCCATGTACTGGTCCATTACTTTCCGAACAATCCCTTCCACGGATTCGTCGGAACATTCGTCGATGGCCCGTACTCTTCCTAAAGACCGAGAACTTTGTTTCGCGGCCTCGAATTCTAGGGCACGTGCTAAAGCATCCACCAAGTGCGTTGGGTGGGCTAGGAGAAGTGCTTGTCTTGTCTCGTTGTCACGTAAGCCGTCGGAGAATGCCTGTACTGCCAACCGCTCCATAACATTCTCGGGCGTAGCAGGGTACGCAAGGCGAACGAGGCGGGCCACGTCGGCTTCAAACTCCTGCAGAGACTCATTTGCCTTTTGAATGCGATTTTTTAGTTGGGAATGATAGACATGTTCCAAATGAGCTTGGCCGTACCTCATTTCTAAATGTCGTACCAATTGCTGATAATCTCTCTGTTCCGATGGTGACAGTGTCTGCAGGATATCAGTCGCATCTCCCCGCAGTGCGATAGTCAAAGCGGTAGCTTTTTCAGCGATTGTCCAGCCGTTTGCTCTCGCAGCGGCTTCAAACTGGCAAAAATAATTGGCCCAAGCGGTTTTTTCGTCAAACTGTGGAGGCTTAATAACTGACTTTGAGGTATACCTATTTTCGACTAGTTTCGGTCCCTCCGATGTTTCTTGACATTTTGGTGAATTTGACTTCGCTATTTTTTCTTTTAAAATTTCGATTTTTCGGTTTACATCATCCTCAATATGTGTTATTTTGTCTTGTAGTTCCGTAGAATTCTCTATAATTTCTGTTATCTTTTCTTCTAAATTAATTATTTTATTATTAAAGCTGGCCTGTATGTCTTTAGAATTTTCTGCGATGTTATCTTCCAAAATATTAATTTTATCACTGATTTTCTCTTCTAAATTAACTTCCAAGTCAATTGTTTTACTATTTAAACTATTCAAATTGTCGTTTAAATTGTCTTGTAAATTTTTCAATGACGAGTCAAGGTCACCTTCCAGCTCGAAGTAAAATGTGTCAGGATCCTCACCTTCCTCCACCAAAACGTCTCTCAGTCTAGCTTGCAAAATGCTTTTCTTTCCATTTGTCTCGCACTCTCTCTCTTCCAATATGCATTTCAGTTCGGACACTTTCAAGTCTTTCAACAATTTTTTCGAAGTCATTGTCAGTCTTATTTATTTTTTTTTCTAGTCTATCACTCACACACGCCACACTTGACACCAATTGTTACGTTTTTCGTCGGTTCCGTGTGGATAGAAAGTCACAATTTATTTAAACACTATTTATTTAACACTAATTAACAAAAACAATAACGATAACAGACTTATAGAACTATTTACAAACGATTTATAACTAAGAATTTATTTTGAATTTTCGCGCGTCAACTGCACTGGTATATTTATAACTGCCCCCTGTAGGCCACAGCCGCCGGCTTTTATACCGACAGGTAAAGAACTCTAGAATAGTCCATAGATCGTTAGATGCGTAGAGAAGGTTTTCGAATGTTCTCGTATGTACTAGTCCATTCCAGTGGGACTCGATTCTTCTCGAACGAATGAATCATTACGGTGTCTATTCTTTAATGCGATGTTAAGGTCATCTGAGGGCGGGACATATAGTTAGGTTAGGTCGAGTTCACACGGGTCCGCAACAATACTTTTCCTATACTATATTTTGTATACTATAGGTACTGTAAACTGTATGTTCACAATTAAAATAAAAGCACTGTATTTATAGTATAATACATTATATTATTTATTCGATTTCTTCATTTGTATAATATTTCAATTGCAGGAATATTCCATGGACTGTTACTTTAGACAATATTGGCGAGATCAGAGATTATCCTTTGTAGGACCGATAAATTCATTATCTTTGTCTATCAAGATGTTGGAAAGAATTTGGAGACCCGATACGTACTTTTACAATGGGAAAAACTCCTATGTTCATACCATAACTGTACCTAATAAATTATTAAGAATCAGTCAAGATGGAGATATCTTATATTCTATGAGGTAAATATATACAGGGTGGCGCAACTCATTCGCCTCGGTTGATTATACGAAAACGGAAAGATGTAGAAACAAAATATTTTATGGGTATATGTGGGAAGGCAATGTGCACAATTTAAAATTATTTTGAAATGTACAGGGTGTTTCAGAACTAAGATCCATACCAAAGTTATATTTTTTCTTATGCAGAGATCCGGTATTTTATTTCATTTTTGGATTCTTGGGCCCAAAAAAAAAGTATTTATTATAAGGGTTAAATATGTTTAAAATCTTTGGTTTTTGAGATATTGAAAGATATTTAAATTTGCATGCTACAATAGAATAGATTATTAACACCCTGTACATAACGTTTCAGAATTAGTTCTTGTGCTGAATTTAAAGGTAGAGAAATAAACTTTACAGAAAAATGTTATTCCTTCCTTAAATGTATACAGGGGTATCAAAAATTGCTGGTCTATTTTAAATATTTATTTTACATAAAAACTTCGTTATTTCAAATGCAACACTATGTATTTTTTTAAATAAGTCGAAGCAGATTTAAATGCTCTTTCAAACTATATTAGGGTTTCCTATACCTATCTTGCTCAGATTTTTAATAAAAAAATTTGATTACAATAAAATTGTAATCAAGATGGCTAGTGTTGTCATGGTAAGTTTTTAGTGACTTGTAGCTATTTTCAAAATCGAAATTAGTTTATGGACTTTAAATTTATACCAGTTTACTTTTATATAATTTACCTACAATAGTTTAATAAATAATATTTATTAAATATGTGTTTATTATTCTATCAAGAAAAACGAAGAAGTAGTCTTCGAATTATTTTACGATGACTTGTAGATCCATGGATTTTCTATAAAAGAGCCAATTACGGCAAATTCTTTTTCTTCACTTCCAAGGACAGGTTTCTGCCTAATAGGTTTTTTATAAACCACACTACAAGGCGAAATAGGACAAGAAGTTTTTCAAAGAAACTGTTATTAGGAAAATTCTTATTTGGATATCTTTGAGCATATGCCCTTGAGGCCACGAAGCAATTTTCCTCACGAAATAATATCACTAGTAACATATCTATTCGTTCCGCCAGCAGATACTGTTTTTTTTAATAAAATAATGAATACTTACTTATTAAACTATTGTAGATAAATTTAAGGAAACTGTTATAAATTATAAATAATAATGTCCATAAACTAATGTCGACTTTGAAAATAGTTACTAACTGTCACTAGAAAATTGCCATGGCGACACCAGCCATATTGATTACAATTTTATTTAAAAATCGGTTTTCATTCAAAATCTGAGCTAGATAGGTATAGGAAACCCTAATATAGTTTGAAAGAGCATTTGAATCTGCTTCGATTTATTTAAAAAAATACAGGGTGTTATATTTAAAATAACAAAGTTTTTATATAAAATATATCCTTCAAATAGATCGGCAACTTTTGATATCCCTGTATAAATTTAAGGAACCAATACCATTTTTCAGTAAAGTTTATTTCTCTACCTTTAAACGCAGCATAAGTATTAATTCTAAAAAATAATGTACAGGGTGTTAATAATATATTCTATTGTAGCATGCAAATTTAAATACCTTTAAATATCTCAAAAACTAAAGATTTTAAACATATTTAACCTTTATAATAAATGCCTTTTTTGGGTCCAAGAATCCAAAAATGAAATAAAATACCGGGTGTTTCATAAGAAAAAATATAACTTTGGTATGAAACTTAGTTCTAAAACAACCTGTATATTTCAAAATAATTTTAAATTGTGCACATTGTCTACCCACATATACCCCTAAAATATATTTTCGTATAATCAACCGAGGCGAATAAGGTGCGCCACCTTGTATAATTATACTATAAAAAATAGAATAGATATAAGAATAATGAAAATTTAATGATAATAGTAAATAGTCACTCAGGACAGCATTTACAAAGCTTAGGAAATAAAACACAGGATGGCCCGAACTGTATTCCGGAAACTTCGGCAGCATATTCTACAGATAAAAATAAGTTAAAAAGTTCGTATAAATTGTATGTTCTAAAATTCTTAATTTTGGAGATACAGGGTGTAGAAGTTTCATTTTTATTTCGATTTTTGCAAATAATTTATGAAGTAACTTAAATATTTGGATGAAAATTGGTGTCTGGGAGTTTTTTGATATGAGATGTCTCGAAGGACCCCATTTACATTCCGAGTTTTAGCTCCCTAGCTCACATAGGACCAGAGTTACGACGCGAGGCTCCAAGATCGTTACCATTTATGTGACGCTCGGCGACCTTGGCGTGACGCTTCGCGTAATGCTAGCTCGTGTGTCACGGCCTTATATTTTTACTCCCATCGCGCGTAAGGAAATTTCACTTCAAAAAAAAAATACTGTGATACGCAAAATGTGTTTGTAGTTTGTTCAAATGAATGAATCATAAGAGTCGATTCATTATGAGAAATTGAATCGCATGATTCGATTCACTAAAAAGAATCGTAATGCCCATTACTACTGAGTACACTGGCAAAATAAAACACTGATTCTAACCATCATCTGCTGATTATGCTAGCAAAACGCACGTCCAGTTTTTAAAAGTAAAATGTTTTCGTGTATTGTGGTGAATTAGTATTTTATTTTGATATTGCAACACTAAAGGTTCTAACCCCAAATGCCCATTTGGGACTATATTTATGTATTTTAGTTAGTTAGCAGTTGTAAATTTAAGCAAAGTGAGAATTAACCAAACATTTTCTATAAAAATTATTTCCTAAAAACATCTAAATGTTTAATAATGTGTCATTTAAAGATTGTAGTGGTTAAAATAAAAATATTTACTTCTTTTTCCAGGCTAACGATTAAAGCGAAATGTCCAATGGAACTGAAAACTTTTCCAATGGACAGACAATCCTGTCCGCTTATCTTAGGAAGTTGTAAGTAAAAAGAAATAATTATATTTTTACCAGAAATAGAAAGAAATGCTAAAACTTTTTTCGTTCAATAATATTTTATTTCTAGACGCATATACGTCAAAAGATTTAGTATATCAATGGCAAAACGAGGAAAGTGTAAATTTTGTGGCAGGAATGACATTGTCACAATTTGATTTAATTAGTTATCCATCAAGAAGTTTTAATTTAACAAGACGAGAAGGTAATATAATTCTAAATAATATAATTTTGAAAAAAGTTAGCCTAACCTAACCTAACACCGACTAACATTATAATTTGGATTTAAGCTTGATTTTCATGCATCCGTTGTCCGACGATACGTTGATACGATATTAATTTTATTGGTAGAATTTAAAGACTTTGATTGGTTAGAAAATATCGCAGTTTTTAAATTTATTGCATTTTCATGCCTCCGTTGATCGGATGTACAGGGTGGACCAATTTGGTTGTTTCTATAGGGTATCTAGGAAACCGTGAGAAATATTCAAATTTTGATACTGCAGTCTCGGTTCTTTTTTTGAAAAACTCACAATGGCGCAAACGGATCGTGGTTATCTTGATCGGTTTCGAAGCTACAGGGGGATTCTCAAATTTTGTACTTTTTGGAGATGTTCGATAGTTTGTTTATCTCAACAACTACGCAAAAATAAATTAAACATTCTAAGGCACTTTCCTGTGTAGAATGCAGTGGCGTAGTCAGACTTTTTTTGGAAAAAATTGTTTTTTAGATATTAACTTATACTTATGTTTTTTTTAATACACCCCCTGTATATTTTTAAATTTCCTGATTCAGTTTGGCATGGGTTTCTCGAAAATATATAACACTATATAATTATTTATTTTCACTCTTAACTTTAAAATTACAATTTATTTAAAGATATCGACTTTCCTCTTGGTAGGTCATGCCGAGTATTAAAGGAAACAAGCGAATATCTACTTTCAAATTAATCCATGTATTAGCAATTAAATAAATTCGAAGAAGAAAAAAATACGAAGCAAATAAAAAATAAGTGTGACGGAAACAAAAGAACATATTTTAATACAAACTCAACAGGTTACTTCAATCGGGCTTCTCAGTTAATATAAAAAATAAAAACACAAAGACTACATTAAATGTTCACACTACTGCCCATTATTATCTAGACAGAGTTGGCACCGTCTCTGCACACCGCCGCTAACAGCATTTCGAATGTGTATGTTGGTTACACTTTGCAAAGCCACAACAAAACTATCTTGTAACTCTTCTACTCTTCTAATGTTCTATTTGCATTTCGATAAATTTCATTTTTCAGAAAGCCCCAGAGAGAGAAGTCTAAGGGAGTGATATCAGGTGACTTAGGTAGCTAGGATTAAACTATTTTCTGAACTTTTAAAAATGGCTGAGTTTGGTTGCTGGCGCTCAAAATACTGCTCAAAATATAAATCAGCTGCCATTTGCTTATGTTTGTTAGACTCAATATAACATTCTAAATTCTAACATATTATATTTCTCAAAATTTTCAAATTTACTCACTTTTTTATTATTTAAAATACACACACTTCAATCTGTTGAAATGAAATGTCACGCATCCATCAACCGTTTACTTTGTTACTCGGCGCGGCCTACTACTAACTAGATATTTTATGAAAAATTTGAAATGTTGAGGTTAATAATGAAAATAAATATGAGTGTTATGTATTTTCGAAAAGCCCATGTCAAGCTGAATCAGGAAATTTAAAAATATACAGGGGGTTCTATTTAAAAAAAAACAGAAGTATAGTTAATATCTAAAAAATATTTTTTTAGAAAAAAGTCTGACTACGCCACTGCAAATTGCCTTTAGAATGTATAATTCATTTTTGCGTAGATGCTGAAATAAACAAACTATCGAACGTCTTCAAAAAGTACAAAATTTGAGAATCCCCCTGTAGCTTCGAAACCGATCAAGATAGCCACGATCCGTTTGCGGCATTGTGATTTTTTCAAAAAAAGAACCCGAGACTGCAGTATCAAAATTTGAATATTTCTTACGATTTCCTAGATTTGAAACAACCAAAATGGTCCACCCTGTACGTTGGTGTCATTTTATATTTTCGTTTCCATAACGATTTTGCTATTTTACTTATATTTTTTTATTAAGATTAGATTAAATTTGTCAAAAAAGTGTCAAAACGTCCGTTATCGTATAAACGGGTCCGTTGAATGAAAAATGGGCTGAAGAAAAATATTTACGGATGAAAAGTGGCGCGAAAACGCTATGACCAATCAGAGGACCCTCGGACCATCGTATAAACGGATGCATGAAAATCAAGCTTTAAACTTAGTTATGATACCGCATGATCGAAAATGAAACGATGTCAAAATGGCCTTGAAATGCCGATTGTTGATAATTTGTGAGTAAATTTGTACAGTGGCGTGCACTGGAAATCAAATCAGGGTAGGCAAAAATTGGCAAAATATTAAAATAAGTAGTATAAGTAATCAATACAGGGTGAGTCTTAAAGAAGTGGACCTATTTTTAGAGGTAGTACGAGGGATTTTATATTTCGATCCCAATAACACGTTATGAGTTTTTTTGTATTTAAAAAACGGTAATAGCTTGATAATATGACAACATAGATAGTAAATTAAATTTATAGAAACTAAAACACGGAAAAAATCCAATGGTTCTCAAAATTTAAGCAAAATATACAGGGTGTCAAAAAACAGTGTTTCTAACGTTGGTGGGTGATTCTTCAGATAAAAATAAAACAAAGAGTGTTTATGAACATAGGCCCTAAAATACTATCCGAAGAATTTACAGCCCTAGAAAGGTTAAATAAGAATAATTTATTTTGTTTATTTTCAAGAACATTGGTAAACCATTTTTATTGAAATTTGAAAATTATACGCACATTTTAATGCCAAAGCGAATGACGATAGTGTCAAATTCCGTAACAGCACTGAAAGGGTACTTTCCATTTTCCAAAGAACTACTGGTGGTACTTCTTTTATCCTTGTGGATACAGTATTTTCAAAAGCTAGAACTTTTTTAGGTAAAAAAGGTGCTGTTAGTTTAATTCGAAACGGTGAACGGTTTTCAAGATATTTGTGTTTAAAGATTATTACAATGCATCGATTTTAGTATTAGCGAAATGATAAAATGTAAAGAAATTTTAAATAAATCAATCTCCTGATTTCGCCCTAATACTAAAATATATGTATCGGAACCTTTAAACGCAAATATCTAGAAAACCGGTCACCGTTTCGAACTAAATGAAGAGCACCTCTTTTACATAAAAAAGCCCTAGCTTTAATTTTTTATTTCTTGAAATTACTGTATCTACAGTATGTTATGTCCCCAGATTGTCTTTACAAAAGGAAAAACTTTTTATTGTTGACTTTTTGAGAAAAATACATTCTTCGTAAAAAAATTTGCTTGGTGTAAAATGGTTAATTCCGTTTATACCTTTCCAAATTTTCATACCGATATAGAGAAAATTAACAAAACATGAAAATTTAGTTGAATTTTTTCTGAAGTTCTAAAAATCAAAACGCGTTTCTATAGTAATATAATTTCTTTTTCGTTGTTTGGTATGTGTTTCAGAAAACATGTGCCATCCCTATTGGGGAAATTCCTCAAGAAAAAATAAGATTTATTTTTCATATCAACATGGGTCCGACTCTGCTTTGTTTTGTAGTTAAGCGTATTAGGTATAATATTAGGTATGAGGCGTACAACCTAGCGTAGCGTAGAGCGGAGAGAACCACAAAGCGTTTAAATGCATTGAAGTAAATGGAAGTGGCCCCGCATACAGGCGCGTATTTTTCTATTGTCCGCTCCACTACATATTTTAGCGATGGGTTGTTATTTAACTATCTGTTATTTTATAACAATTATTTATAAATAACATAACGTAACCGTTACTACTTCTAAAGAATAACAGATATAAAATAACGACACGTAGAGATCGGCCGCTCCTGAAACGAAAAACGAAGTCGGCTCTCTGCACCGCCACGAAATTCTATGCTGCTCGAAGCAATTCCAAAAAACAACTAGTATGGATGGAAAACATATTTCCTCAACTATTGATACAGGCGGCGAGACAACGGACAACGGAGTGGGGAATGCTCTATGGCGAACGTAGCTGCTTCAGTCGATACCGTCGACGGTCGTATTGGGCTTGCAACACCTTAAAACTAATAGGATATAAAAGAAGCAGGTTTTTTGAAACAGTTGCGGGCATAACGCCTGGCGGTCGAGATAACAGGAGTGGGAAAGGAACGCTGCTGCATCGGTCGATTATCGATGGAGGCTCGCAACGGGTTGGAGAAGCAGTCATTTTAGATACGTTGTTTTTCAACCTGTTACCAGCATAACAGGGCGGCGGTCGAGATAATCGGAGTGGGAAAGGAACGCTGCTGCATCAATCGATTGTCGATGGAGGTTCGAAACAGGATGGAGAATAACGCATCAGTTGTTTTAGATACATTGTTTTTCAACCTGTTATGAGCATAACGGGCGGAGGTCGAGATATTATGGCGCTGTATATTTCAATACTTACTTATTAAGTTTCAATATTTTGGTATTTATTTATTCTGAAAAATTTTCAGAATAATATTTTAAGATTTTTTAAAAATGTTGAAATGAAAAATCTGGTCATTGATTAATCACGATCCTGCTTAAAGCCCTTGACGTAAAAAGCTGATTTTTGGAAAAAGGATTGACTTTAGGGTGTAGAGGTTCGATAAGAAGGGATTTTTCGAAACTCGAATTCTAAGGGGGTGAAACTACCCTCAAATATTAGAATTTTTTTTATTTAAAAACCGGTGAGTTTTTCGGAAAAAACTCTTAAAACACGTATATTTTATTATGTTGTTTTACATATTTTAAGATTTTTTAAAAATATACAACAGGGTGTTTCATAAAATATGACCATTGAGTAATCACGATTCTGCTTAAACTGCTTGACGTTTAAAGCTGATTTTTGGCGGATTGACTGTGGGGTTGAGGTTCGATAAGGAGGGGTTTCTCGAATCTCAAATTCCAACAGGGTGAAAACGCCCCTCAAATATTACAATATTTGTTATTTAAAAAACGGTTAGTCTTTCGGAAAAATGCCTGGACATGCATAATTTATTTGGTTTTTTTACATATTTTGAAATTTTTTAAAAAATCATACAGGGTGTTTCAAAAAGTTGAGTAATTGATTAACCACGATTCTGCTTAACCTGCTCGACGT